CTAGACGTTAAAAACCAATAGACAAGCACGATATTAATAAGAACTAACAGGGAAATGAATGTTGCAAACAGTTGCTGCTTAATATTCATGTTTGTTTTCTGTAATGTTCCTTCATGTTAAAAACACTGATCAAAGTACACTGTTGGGTAACAAGATGGTAGTTAATCAATTACTGTAACATTAAGGGACTTGAAAATTGGAGATTATTTTAATTTGCTTCATCCAGAAAGACAGTGAAAAAATATTAGTAATTTATTCTATCAAACAAGTAGGGGTTTTCAAATCTTAACTAGTGTAAGTTATAAAGAAAATTCATGTTGCAGATAAAAGTACTGAATATCACTGATCACAACTTAAAAACTGGGTAAGATTTATTTATTTTACTTTCTGGATTTAATAGTTCAGATAAATATCTATCTACATTTTGTTTATTCTGCTGCTCCACCTTCTTCCAACTACATGGAAATAATTTTTTTATTCATAACTTATTTACAGTAAATATAATTCCCCCTTACCCATACTACAGGGAATTTGATTTCAACATTATTAATTTAAGAATATTGGGAGTAAATAATGAAAACATGCACATAGCTATTTTACAAATATAAGCCACTTTTCTTTGACAGAGATTTGACTTTTATTTCTCCAATCTTTTCAAATACCATGTTATGCTTCAATTAGTACTTTATATAAGGTGATCTTTGAAAATTGTCTCAAAAATTAAAACTCTATTTAGGAAAAGTTTCTCTCCTAGGAGAAACATATGATACTCATACTAATGTTTTAAATTCAACAGAAAACTTTTATGTCCAAGAATTTTCCCCAATAACATCTATCTAAGGAAATGTACATCAAAGATTCTACCAAAACTGCTGCATGTGGAAGACTGCTAATTTTCACAGGAGCCATCCTTCAAGATTCCCACATGAGAGCTGTCATTATAAATGAACCATTTCCATCTGCCTTTTCAGGGCAGCAAGGAGGTTATTTACAATCACCAGCTGGGAACATGTATTTTCCAAAGCAATACTGTGAAGAAGAAAAATATGGCTAGACAGAGCATCAACTAGAAATGGAAATTTTCTCTAACAAAGAATTTAATCTGGGTTACATTTAAAAAAAACTTTTGCATGAAGAATTCTTATACAAAAGTAAAATAAACGATGAAATGCAAAATAATCACATAAATGATAAATTATACATAATCCACAAGAACTTT